AGTACACATAGCTTGCAGCACACAGCTTACAACCATGGAGTCTGCTATGTAGCTTGCAGCTCATAGCTTGCCCCGCTCCTCAGCAGCTTACATCACCTATATTCCGCGACATAATTTGCACTACGTAGTTTCTGCCTCGGAGCCTGTACTCCATGTGTTGTACGACATGTCTTGCACCCCATAGCTTGCATCACATAGCGTGTCCACATGCTTGCACTCACTGCTTGCACCACATACATCGTCTCACATGGCTTGGTTCCACATGTTGCACCACATAGCTTGTGTCAGACAGCTTGCACCACACATGTTGAACATCATAGCTTCCATCATACTGCTGGCACCAGATAGATTGCCACGACGCGTTCACCGCGTAGCGTACATCACATCGCCTGTTCTACATTGCTTGCGCCGCATAGTTGACACACAGTTCAACAACTCATTGTTTGGGGCCCACTCGGGTAAACTTGTATCTGAGAACATGTGTCTGTTTGGCGATGTTGGAGAATTGCGCTGGCTTCCAGATCGTCCAAGCCAGCACAATACACTCCCAAGGGGGCGCCCATAGAAACCCCTCAGGCGATCTTGTGGCGTCTCGGGAGTGTGGCTTCAAAACGACGCTCCCTTTCGCATGCCAGCAAAGCTTCCGAGGCTTCGCGGGCATGTGCCATCGACGGAAGTCATGGGCCATCGACATCGAGGGAATCTTGAGGATTGGAGGGCGCTCCACACAGAGCCTGCGACACGGTGGCGGATTTTCAAGAGCGACGATTCAAGTTCAACAAGCAAGCCTGGACATGCGGGGGCTTGGCTTGGAGAGCCATGCGTGTAGTTTCGAGACCCCCCCGCCCAGCGCAGCTTTGGCAGCACCGCCGGCGTCTGGTCCTTCTGTGCCGAGGGCCATGCCGCTCGCTCTCAAGTTTCAGCCCAGTTCGCATTGAAGTGGGTGTTTGTGATTTTGGTGTGCTCGCCTTCCGCTCGACAAACAAAGTCTATGTGGGCATGTTCTCGGCAGAGTCATGCCATAGTCCTGCGAATGGGTCTCAGGTGACCCTCGGCCCGAGCAACGATCACTGGAGCGACCGACGCTTCGCGTAAAGATCCTCAGCAGCCCATCCAGGAGCTGTTCCTGTGTGAGTTCTCGAGCGGGCGGAAGTGGAGGACCATGATCGACACGAAGGAAGCAGCTGACCCTCGGGGGCCCCTGCCAGCTTGGCTCCCAGTGCCGTATCCTCGCGCACCTTTTCGGCACAGCGGTCCTGTGCAGGCTGACTCTGCGAGCAGATTGTGATTGTGAAGGTTTTTTATGCGGCGTTTCGACATTGGGCGGAGGGGGGGGAGGGAAGGGCGGTCTGCCTACGAGGGAGACTCCACCTGCTCGAAACCGGCGCCCAAAAACAGCTAAGATCCACTCCATGAGGGGGCGGGGCGAGGGCCCGCGCCGATCGGCAAGACAATGAATAAAGAAAACGCTCGGGGGCCGATGGCGCGGACACCCGCGCCTGAGCTGCCCGCTCATAAGCTCACCGATGTCCCTCCTGGGTGTGCCGCAACAGCGGCCTGCTAAGCCACTGCGCAAGGTCACTCTTCCATCACGCGCAAGACCCACTTACTCAATCCCTTCGCTCGCTCCGCCAGCCCATGCTGCATCAGGGTTGGACCTAAACGCTGGTTTGTTGGACTTCGGCTGTGTTTTGTTGTTCGTTTTGGAAGGGGGCACAGGAAAACAGGTAGAGCAAAACGAACAACAAAACGAGCACAAAACTAAAAGTAATGGTTAGGCCCAAGCTTTTGCTGCATCACTGTTGTTATCCGTGGGTGGCTTCGTCGCGAGCGCGAGGGAGAAGGAGAGACATCTAAATTGCTTCTCGGGGCGCTCTGGGGGGGGCCAGGCGGAGCCGTGGATCGCAGACGATTTCTTCGCCTCCCTTCCCCCGGCTCCGCCCGAGAAGTTGGGCCTCTCAGGCACGGTGGGACCTTCTGGGATGCCCCCCAGGTGCAGGTCTCGTTTCGATTCCCCCGATTCGATTCGATCCGGTTCCGATCGTTTCCGATTTCGATTCGATGCGATGTGTGATTCCGATTCGGGTCCCGATCTCTTGTTGGAGGTATACTAAACCTGCGCGCCACAGCGGCACCGTCAGCGCGCGCGCGCGAGCGCGATGCAGCGGCTGGCACGCTGCCGCGGGGGAAGGTGGGATGAGGATGGCCTGCCGTCCCAGAGAGTAGAATCGGGGAGGGGGTGGAAGAGGAGGCGGAGGAGGAGGAGGAGGAGGAGGAGGAGGAGGAGTAGGAGGAGGAGGAGTGAGGAGGAAGGAGGAGGAGGAGGAGGAGGAGGAGGAGGAGGAGGAGGAGAGGAGGAGTGAGGAGGATAGGGAGGAGGAGTGAGAGGAGGAGTGAGGAGGAGGAGGGAGGAGGAGGGAGGAGGAGAGAAGGAGGAGGAGGAGGAGGAGGAGGAGGAGGGGAAGGAGGAGGGGGAGGTTGAGGAGGAGGAGGAGGCGGAGGAGGGGGGGGGAGAGCGACAGGAGCGGAGGAGACAGTCTGGCCGTGGAGCCCTGGGATACTTTCCAGCTCCGCTGCGCCTCGCGGGGGTTTCTTCTGGTGGCTGCCCGCGTCGTGCCGAACAGTCGATACCGAGGATCGGAGGGCAACAGTGTACTGTAAGGGCTCCCTCGAGGGCGCGAAGTTATTCGCGCTTCGCGGTCCTCGTTCCTTCTCCTCCTCCTCCTCGTCCTCCTCTTCTCCCCCTTGGGGGGCGGCGCGAGAGCGCGAAGTTATTCGCACTTCGCGCTTCGCGCAGCGCGAAGCGCGAAGTTGGGAGCCCTTGGTACTGATGCCGCTAGCCTTCCCTCGCTTTCGCCCCTCGGGCCTCTCCTGGGAGCGCCTCGGCCTCTCCCCGGGAGTGCCTCACAGCCACGGCCGGAGTCGCCTCGAATGCTTGGCCAACGCGCACCCCTGAAGAGATCTGGGGAGCAGCGGCATCGGCACCCTTTCGTTCCCCCAGTTTTGGGAGGGTCGGTTCGGGTACGGAAGCGATGATGAGGAAGACCGGCAGCAGCTCCTGTCCATTTTGACCAGCGGGTTTGGTAAAAGCCCTGTGGTTTCCTCGTGTTCTTCGCCCTCTCTCCCTCCATTCCCTCTCACCCCTCTACGCTCCCCCTGCCTTGCCTCTGGTCGGGTTTTCGTTTTGAAGAAGACAGTCCCCGCGTCTCCCCTCCCTCTCCTCTCCTCCTCCTCCTCCTCCTCCTCCTCCTCCTCCTCCGCCTTCTCCTCCTCCTCCCATCACCCCCTTCACTTTGGCACACCCCTCACCCGTTTCGTGGCCCCAGAGGGAGCTCCACCGAAGTTCCAGATGCCAACGCTCGCACGCGGGCGCCGCACCCAATTTGGCAAGCCTCTCAAACGTTTCCTGGCCCCAGAGGGAGCGTCACCGAAGGCCCGGATGCCAGCGCTCGCATGCGGGCGCCGCACCCATTTTGGCACACCCTCAAACGTTTCCTGGCTCCAGAGGGAGCTCCACCGAAGGCCCCGATGCCAGCGCTCGCATGCGGGCGCCGCACCCATTTTGGCACACCCCTCACACGCTCCGTGGCCCCACAGGGAGCTCCACCGAAGGCCCAGATTCCAGTGCTAGCATGCGGCCGCCGCACCCATTTTGGCACACCCCTCACACGCTTCGTGGCCCCATAGAGAGCTCCACCGAATGCTGTGCATACAACGACAGTGTTGATGATGCTGCTGCTGCTGCTGCTGCTGATGATGATGATGATGCTGATGATGTTGTTGCTGTTGGTGTTGTTGCTGTTGTTACTGTTTGGTGTTGGTGCTGGTGTTGTTATTGTTGATGTTGGTGTGATTGGTGTTGCTGCTGATGTTGGTGTTGTTGTTGGTGGTGGTGGTGTTGCTGCTGATGATGGTGTTACTAATTATGATTGTTGTTGTCATTAGTATGCTTCGTATTCGTATTGTTGTTGGTGGTGCTGTTGCTGTTGGTGTTGTTGTTGCTGCTGTTGGTGTTGTTGTAATACTCATTTCTAACGAATAATTGTTGTTGATCTCCAGAAACGGTTCCGCGCGCTCTCGCCTCGACGCTGGCTACATTTTCTCCGAAAACGAGGCTCCCGCTCGAGCGTTGGCTTGAGCATACATGTGGGCCCTTGGAGGCCCAGCTACGACAACAACAGTTCCCGCCCGATAATTCCTCACAACTTACCCCGAGACACAATGGCCAGAGATGCCCCCGAACTCAGGAACGGCGCTCTCGCTGTAGACGTCCTCGCAATTCAATTAAGTTGGCGGAGGCCCAGCCACGACGACAAGGACTTCTGCTCGATATTTCCTCACGTTGTACTTCGAGAGCCCCTGACCAAGAAGGCCCCCGAACTCAAGAACGACGCTCTCGCTCAAGACTTTCCCGTAATTCAGGCAAGTTGGTGGAGGCCCCGACACGGTGACAAAGGGCTCCCGTTCGATATTTCTCCCTCGGTATTCCGAGAGCCCTTGGCCAGAGAGGCCCCCGAATTCAGGAACGGCGCTCTCGCTCGAGACTTCGCATCTCAGTCCGTGGCCGACAAGGAAGAGATTCCCCCCGAAAAGGGGTGCAATCGAAGACGAAGCGGGCAGGCATCGAGGGTTGTGGTATACGGAATGCAAGACACGCGTGCCAGTAAGAACGAACAGTCATGCAATCATCATTGGTGTTGGCGTTGTTGCTGGTGCTGTTGATGTTGTTGTTGATGATGACGTTGGTGATGTTGGTGGTGGTGGTGCTGTTGTTGGTGTTGGTGTTGGTGTTGTTGATGTTGCTGCTGCTGTTGTTGCTGCTGTTGCTGTTGCTGGTGCTGCTGCTGCTGCTGTTGTTGTTGTTGTTGTTGTTGCTGCTCTCTCTTTCTCTCTCCCTCTCTCTCTCTCTCCATCTCTCTCTCTCTCTCGCTCGCTTCTCTCTCCTTCCCTTCAAGGAGGAGCGTGCATGGGGCCCGTCTTCTGGCCGCCTCCCCGAGGAGGTCGCTGCGCCCGGCTTCGTCAGGGCCTGCCAGCCGACGGCGAGGAGCCCCGCGGAGGAGGGGGCAGAGCGAGGCGCGCGGGAAGACGGAGTGGAGGAGGGGGGCGGGGGAGGGGGGGAAGGAGGGGGCGGGGAGGGGGGCGGGCGGCAGGGAGGGAGGGGTGGGGGGGGAGGGGGGGGTGGGGGCGAGTGGAGGAGGGGGGGAGGGAGGAGGGGGGCACTGGACGACGGAGCGGAGGAGGGACGGGGGGGTGGAAGGGGGAGCGGGGAGGGGGGCGGGCGGTAGGGAGGGAGGGATGGGGAGCTAGGAGGGGGAGGGCGGAGTGGAGGAGGGGGGTAGGGAGGAGGGGGGGCACCGGACGACGGAGTGGAGGAGGGAGGGAGAAGGGGAGGGGGGGGGCAGAATGCAGGGTCAGTTTCGATCGGATCGATGCGAGTCGACACCTGCTCCATCAGGCTCGGTCCGATTCGATTCCGATATTTCGACGGTCCGAAGCGGCCCGATGTCCGCATGGCCTTGTTGTGCAACCTCCTGCGGTCGATCCAATCCGATTTCGACTCCGCGCCCCGATGCAGCCTCATCCGACGCACATTCCGATCCGATGCGAGTTCCCGATTCGATGCTGGCTGGTGCAAGAATGCCGTGGCCATGACGGCGCAAGGGGGACGAGGAGATGGAACACGCAGGAGTGAGGAGGATGGGAGGCGGGAGGCACAAGGATGGAGGAAGGAGCAGGGAGGAGCGGATGATGAGGAAGAGGATGCGGAGGTGGAGTTAGTTTGGGGAAGGTCTGCAGAGGGCCCCCAGTGGCCTCTTGGGGGTTCTGGATACAATCGTGAGGCCAACGGAATATTTCAAGCATACATCATTTTGATACTCCTCGTCCACGTCGAGGAGGAAGGGCTGGGCGCAAACCCAGCGTCTTGCGATTTGTCCAAGAATCCAAGACTGCCGCTTGAAGGTGCGGGGAGACTCCAGAAGCTTCTCGATTTTTTACTAGGGAAGACAGCAGCGAACGAACACGTCCAATAGCATCGATCCGCGATGGTCGAGGATCGAGAAGGAGGAATTCGGGAACTCGGGACATGGACGAAATCTGATAACATGACCCTTGCGAATCAGACAGAACACAGGGAACGTGCTCAAAGCGGGCATACCCAAGAGAAATCAACGAGCGCTATCACAAACACAATCTCCGCCCCCCTTGTAGGTAGGATGCAGCTACTGGGATCCTTAATCGGGCTTATTGTGAAGGCTTTACGGCCGGTGGCGCCGACCCTGAAGGGGGGAGCCCGAGGCGTTTGGGAGACAAGGAATCGAAGAGGAAAGCTTCTCCCAGGGAGGGGTGCTTCCCCACAGGGGTGGCGGGTCATTACCCCCGGGACCCCCCCCCCTTCCTCCCCGGGAAATCCCCCTGGCGAGGAAGGGATCAAAGAAAGGAGGTTCCCTGGAGGGTTTCTCCGAAGGGCTTAGGCGACCCGTCCTCCTCCTGCTCTTCCTCCTCCCTTCCTCCTCCTCCTCCTCCTTCTCCTCCTCCTCCTCCTCCTCCTCCTCCTCCTCCTCCTTCTCCTCCTCCTCCTCCCTCCCTTTCTCCTCCTGCTCCGCCTCCTCCTTCATCATCTTTTCCCCCTCCTTCTCCTCCTCCTCCTCCTCCTCCTCCTCCTCCTCCTCCTCCCCCTCCTCCTCCTGCTCCTCCTCCTCATCCTCCCCCTCCCCCTCCACTCCTCCTCCTCCCTTTGTCCTCCTCCTCCTCCTCCTCCTCCTCCTCCTCCTCCTCCTCCTCCTCCTCCTCCTCCTCCTCCTCCTGGGGTCGCCTACGGCCCCGGGGGAAACCGTGCAGGCTTTTCTGTGACTTGATCACGATGCTGTTCGGTTCCTCTTTGCTGGCGCCGTCTCATCGGGCCCATGTGCCCCTCAGAACGCTCTGCGGAAGACCCCCCCCAGGAGCTGCCTCGGAAGAACAAACAAAGGCAGCAACATAAAATTTAAGCTTGAGTCGGGCATGTCCCTCTACAGGAGGAATATTCAAAAACAGTCCAACAATAATTTTGGGACTATTGTTCTACTAGTTTCGACCATTTGGGAATATAGTTTGAATATTTTCTAGTTTTCGTCCGAAATTCCCCTTCAGGAGGACATGCCCGTCCTAAGCATAAACACAAACGCGCTCCGCGCGGAGTCCTTGAATCCGCGCCGGGCCTTCCCCCGGCGGCGCCTCTGGCGCCGGACCTGGCGCGCTCCGCGAGCAAGGGAGGGAGATCCAACGCCATTACGGATATGCCGTTTTTTCTCCTATGCCTCTTGATGCCCTTCACCGACCGTGCCAGCGGGCATCTCCACGCATCGCCTTCGGACTGCTGCGCACCGCGAGTCCACGGGCTGGGCAGCAGGTGGAGCAGGCGTCGGCGGCAACCCCATCCTCAGCCGCAATCGCTCGCAGAGTTGCGGATCAAGCGCGGGTAGTCTCGTGTCGTGCCACCGCGGCAACGATGGGAGGAGGGAAATCGAATAATAAGAAATAACATTCACATATGCATAAGAAATCGAATAATATGAAATCGGATAATGAGAAATCGATTAATAAGAAATAGGAATCGAATAATAAGAAATCGAATCATAAGAAATAACATAAACATAAACTTCTGGCGCTCCGCGCGGAGTTCTCGGATGTGCGCTGGGGCCCCCCCTGGCGGCGGCGCCGCCCATTGGCGCGCTCCGTGCGCCAGGGAGGGGTGCCCAGCGCATATCCTTATGTCGGGCGTGTCCCCCTACCAGGGGCGCTTTCGACGAAAAAATTGAAAACAAATCCAAAAAATACCCCAAGAAGGTCAACAAAATATTCAAAAAATAGTCCCCAGACTATTTTTGGAGTATTTCTTTGAATATTGTTGGGGCATTCTTTATTTGTCGTCGAAAATCTCCCTGTAGGGGGACAGGCCCGACTTAAGCAGATCCGAGAAAACCACGCGGACTTCCAACAGTTTGTGCTTATGCCGTTTTCGGTCCCTCTAGGAAAGGCACCGACGCTGCTACTGCTACCCTTCCCCCGTTTTTGCCTTGTGGGCCTCCCTGGAGGCCCCCGCCGCCACCGCCAGATTCGCCCCGAAGTTCTGGTCAGAACGCACCCAGGGAGAGGTTAGATTCTGGGAGTAGCCGTATCGCTACCTCTATGTGTCCCCAAGCGATCCCGCCGCGGGCGTTCAATGTTGAAAGCCGCCAGTGGCCCAGAACCGGCCAACATGGAACGAGTTGGCGATCGAAAAGTCGCCAGTCGCTCAAGGTTGAACGATCCTGACGGTTTCAGGAACCAACGCGCAAGTCGTCACGACACGAATTTGCAGTATGTGAGGTCGGCTCTCTTGGAGGTATCAGCAGCAGCAGCAGCAGCAGCAGCAGCAGCAGCAGCAGCAGGCAGTGCGACACACCGCAGTCCACGTGGATCCCCACATGGCATCGGCGTGTCACAAAAGCGCCGATCCCGTTTGGCTGCCCGGCGGCCCGGACTGTCCCGTAGGTGTTCCTGCGGCGATGAGGCATAGAACGCGACGTGGTATCATGCGCAGCATCAAGATCACTTCCTCGAGAGCAGAGTCGATGCTTGGGATCCCTCGGTGGGCCACTTCTGCAGCGAATCCCGCCGTCGACGGACTCTCCAGAACATCCACCTCTTCAGGGCCTTCCACGGGAACCGGGGAAACCAAGCGCCCAAACGATTGAGAAATACCCAGGAGGGGGGAGGGGAGCGCCTAACTGGGCAGTGGACGATGACAAGCGATTTGCCTGGTTCGTCGTCGCTGTCGCCGTCGAGTCCGCTGGCCGCAGCCAGCGACCCGGACGAGGAGTACGCATTTGTTGTCTTGACCCTCCCTGCCCGACATGTTATTCATCGCTCGGTCGCACTATCACTGGGGAGTTGCCCAGGGCAGTCCTCCGCGAGCCGGCCCGCGGCGCCCGTGCCCCCCAGGGCCGCGTAGGCAAACGCACCGTGCCGCCGCTGCCGCGGAGGCCCACCACGTCTGAACACACCTCCGCCTCCTCCTCCTCCTCCTCCTCCTCCTCCTCCGCCTCCTCCTCCTCCTCTTCCTCCTCCTCCTTCCCCCCCTCTCCCTACCCCTACCCCTACCCCTCCTCCTCCTCCTCGTCCTCTTCCTCCTCCTCCTCCTCCTCCTCCTCCTCCTCCTCCTCCTCCCTCCTCTCCTCCCCTCCTCCTCCTCCTTCCCCTTTTCCTCCTCCTCCTCCTCCTCCTCCTCCTTCTCCTCCTCCACCTTCTCATCCACGAGGTTGGGATGCCCCCCGTACGGCTCGCCCCACTGCCGAGGTCGGCAGACCCCGCGCGCAACACGTCGCCGTCACCTCCGGTGGCCGCGGCGCCGCTGGGAGTGTTCGGCCCAGACGCCCCCCCTTCCGAAGGTCTCGGCACACTCTTCGCGGCGCAGCCTGTGGAGCTCCCTCGGGGAGGCGCATGCGGTAGCCTTCGCGGGCGTGCCGAGTCGGGTCGCAGCCAGCTCCCGCCTGGCCCGCACGGAGCCCGCGCCGTGCACCCCAGCGACACCAACAGCCGGCACCTGCATGGCAAGCCTGAGCCTGCGACAGAGCTCATTGCCCCCTCCTTCGAGAGCCACGGAACCGACGCCCGACTCGAGGGGCTGCGATCCAACTGGGCGCCTCGGCGAGCTGGTGCAGAGGACGGCCCCTGTGCTGCAGAGCAGTCGCGCCATCCGCCTCCCGGCCGCGTCTACCGGCAGCAGAGCGCTCAGGCTTGGCGTCGCCCACGAGCGCCCGAAAGAGAGCCCTCCCGCGCCCTCCTCCTCCTCCTCCTCCTCCTCCTCCTCCTCCTCCTCCTCCTCCTCCTCCTCCTCCTCCTATCCTCCTCCTCCTTCCCCTCCCCCTCCTCCTCCTCCTCCTCCTCCTCCTCCTCCCCTCCTCCTCTTCCTCCTCCTTCTCTCCGGTCCGGACATCCGAGCCCAGCTGCACAGCCACTGAAAGGCATGAACGGTTTGGGCCCAGGCTTGGCCCGAGTCAAAGAGATGTGAGGGGACGGCACGGAGGATGGGGACGGGGTCGGTGTGGAGGGTTTCTCCGAAGGGCTTAGGCGACCCGTCCTCCTCCTCCTCCTCATCTTTGCTCCTCCCTCCTCCTCTTTCTCCTCCTCCCTCCTCCTCCTCCTCCTCCTCCTTCTCCTCCTCGGGTCGTCTACGGCCCCGGGGGAAACCGTGCAGGTCGGTGGGGACAGCGAGGGCGCCGATCAGGCAGGCCTTGGATAAGGATACATGGCTCCGCCGCGTTGCGGAAGGCTCTCGGAGCTTTCCAGAACGCTACAGTCGAGGTCGGTTAGTAGGTCGACCTTGCCAGTCAAGGGTACCCTTGTGTCCTGTGTGTCGCGACCCGTGCATCCCACATGAGTATGGCAGAGTGGCCCTCGGAAAGGCTTTGCGTCCTATCGCGTGTCCTATCCAATCAATCCCGACTGCATGGAACGGTCATTGCGCCCGCTCGATTTTCCAGATGCGCTGGCTCTCAGAGATCCCCGATTGGTCCCTCATCCGAACTCATATGCATCGTGTTGCCCTTCGTTTCAGCCGAGCCTTCAATCTAGACCCGCCAGGAGCGTCCGTGTCCGGAGGAGGACGCAGACCAGTTGGCTTGCTCATCGGGGATTCCAGGCTTCCGCTCGAGGGGTCGCACACGGCCTCGCCGACCCGCTCCCCCGTGTCCCCGTGCGCGGGGTTTTGCCCCCGCCCCATCCACCACCACCCCTCTCAGGAGGAGGGAGGGATGGAAGGAGGAGGAAGAGGAGTCGGAGGAGCAGGCGGAGGGGGGGGGGGGAAAGGGGGAGGGGTAGGGGGAGGGAGAGGCGGCGGAGGAGAGGGGGAGGGGGGAGGGGGAGGGAGGAGAAGGGGGAGGAGTCAGGGAAGCAGATGAGGAGGGAGCAGGAGGAGGAGGAGGAGGAGGAGGAGGAACATATAAGGTCAGCCTGCTTGGGGCGCCAGGTCGTTGAGGGAGGGCGATGCGTCGCGAGGGAGGGCCGCTCTTCGTGGGTCGTGCCGTGCTTCAGCCGCCCATCTTTTTTTGTTCTCTCTCTCTCTGTCTATCTCTCTCTCTCTTTCTCTCTCTCTCTCTCTCTCTCTCTATATATATACATATGCATATACATACATAAATGTATACATAGATACATGCATATACATACATGTATACATATATCTATATCTATATATATATGTATACATATAACCCTTGTGAAAAAAAAAGATCTGGCCGTCAAAGTCTCCCCTGGTCGGAGGGCCTCGCCGTCGCCCCCGAAGGCCGGCGAGCACTCCGCGAGGGCCTGCCCTCGAGCTGCCGAGGCCCCCCCCTTTGGACGGCCGCCCTCGGAGCGGACGAAGCCCCCCTCGCCCGACGGGCCGCCTCCGAGTCGAACGCCTCCTGGCGGCTCGAAGGCCTCCTCCTCCTCCTCCTCCTCCTCCTCCTCCTCCTCCTCCTCTCTCTCCTCCTCCTCTTCCTCCTCTTCCTCCTCCTCCTCCTCCTCCAGGCCTCCTCCTCCTCCAGCCTCCTCCTCCTCCTCCTCCTCCTCCTCCTGGCGGTCACCCTTCAAGGGTGGCCGCCGGGGGGGGTCCACTCGGAGGGCCTCACCTCCGCAGGGATCGTTGTTCCAAATCCCTTATCAATCGTCCCCCCGGTCCCGTTTTCGAAGGCGCCCTTTGTTGTAGATGGGGGGGTCCGGTGTATGAGGGCGCTTTCTTTGGATTGGAGCTTTTAGGGGGTCCCGTTTATTAAGGCGCAAGGCGCTCCGTCGAAGAGCGGTGTCCGGAACACGAGGTCGCATTTGGAGGGGGGTCCGGTTTTTAGGGGGGGCGATGAAGAAGGGACTCGGAGTACTGAGGGTCGGGCGGGCCTTCCCGGGCAGGAAGGAGCTTCTCGTGATCGGGCATGCGTCAAGGCGGGGGGGGCTGCAATGATCTGCCCCCCTCCGCCCTTGACGAACGCCCGATCTGCCTCCTCGGTCCAGCGCGCCGTCGGTCCCCTGCCCGGTACACTCCTGTGCGGCGCCTGGGCCGCCTGGATCCTCCTCCGCCACGTCGCCTTCCACCGCGTCGGGGGGGTGGGGGGGGGAAGGGAGGGAGGGAGGAGGGAGCAGGGGGGAGGGAGGGAGGAGGGAGCAGGAGGAGGAGGAGGAGGAAGTGGGGGGGGGAGGGAGGGAGGAGGAGGGAGGGAGGGAGGGACGGAGGGAGGAGGAGGAGAGGAGGAGGAGGAGGAGGGAAAAGGGAAAGGGAAACGGGATGGAGGGAGGTCTAGGGACGGTAGGGAGGCGGGAGGAGGAGAGGATGAGGAGGAGGGAAGGGAAAGGGAAAGAGGGAAAGGGAAGGGAAAGGGGGAGGGAAGTGAAAGGGAAAGGGATTAAGGGAAAGGGAAAGGGATGGTACGAGAAGGTAGAGAGGAACGAGGAGGAGGAAGGAGGAGGAGGAGGGAAAGGGAGGGAGGGGAGGGGGGACATGGAAAGAGGGAGGAGAGGAGGAGGAGGAGGAGGAGGAAGTGAAGGGAAAGGGTGGATGGAGGAGCAGCGGACGAGTAGCGAGGCGAGGGGAGGATTGGGAGCAGGTGCACCCCAACCCCCCCCGCGGCGAGGAACCCCAGCGGGGACTCGTTCTGCGTCTCCTCCGCGGGCGCGACCGTGACGGCCCTGCGCGCGGACGCGAATCCAATCGGCGCTTCCGCGCGGACGGTCCCGCCCAAACCCGAGGAGAGAGAGGAGGAGGTGGAGGAGGAGGAGCAGGAGGAGGAGGAGGAGGAGG